GGATTAATAAAAATAATATATTACTAAAATTTTAAACAATAACCAATAATGCAATACTAGAACCTATATTTGAAAATTACATATATAATAATTTTTTAATTTTTAAAAATTAAAAATTATTAAAATTAAATTCCAAATAACAAAAAATAAAAAATCATAACAAGTAGGAGATATAACTTATATAATCAAAAAAAATATGGTTGATGATTTGTAAAAATTTAAAGAGAAAATCTATAAAAACTTAAAATTTATGAGTAAATAGAATGGAGTTGAAAAAAATAAATAATAATAATAATATAAATTAATTAAATAAAAACTTTACCTCTTTATAATTTTACAATATAAAGACAGAAAAAAAAATATGGATAAAAAAATTTAAAAAATTGAAAAATTTAAATAAAATTGAATGAAGTTTATAAAGTTATTTTATTATTTTTTAATTATATTAATTATTTAATAAAAAATTACTTTTAAAAATTATTAAAAAATATATAATATACAAAAAAATCAAAAACTTTGATGGCCCTCCCATCGTAAAGGAACGGAGCCCCTGCTTGTACACGATAATAGTCATGTGTTGAAAATAATTTTTATATATACATATATATATATAAGAAAAGTGTATCATTTGTTGGAGTTGGATGTTTTTAGTAATGAATTCACGATAGTCTTGGTACCAGAATGTCAAGTGAAGGGCTTTCACCTGATGTATATGCATCCACTCAAGCGACTAAGACCGAAAGGAAATCAAAGAACAAACATATTTATATAGACAGAATAATGCTTATCCCAAAATCAAAATATATATCCCACCAAGTAATGTAAGACTTTTGTCCTACCAAGTTTTAATCAGGTCAATTTAGCAAAATTCCATGGCCCATCCTTACCATTTTTACCTTAAACAAATCAACGAAGAAGTTTTTGTTTTTGGTTTTTTTTTTTTTTTTGGTCTTTTGGTTGTTTTTCGATCGTTCATGAAGGTTGCAGCAGCAAGCCATTGATAAAGCAACAAAAAAGGAATTAAGGGAATTGATCCTAAACTTGCTAAGTAAGTAATGTAATGTAAAGTTTTTTTTTTTTGAAAATTCAGAATATATTCATAACAGAGGAATCAATGGTTCTCCTTTGGCTGGGGTAATGTAAAGTTTTGATTCTAAACCTAAGAATTTAACTTGTCTCTTAAAGAGAGGGAATAGGTACCACCAAGTGCATCATGATCTTGAAAGAGGAAAAATTAGAGCATCTAAACATTGCTTTTGTTGCTTTCTCTTTACTAAAATAATAGAATCAACTTTAAATTTAGAAGATTAATCTACAAGGTATGTAAAGAGAAACAAAGCATATTCTTTTCAATTTCCCTTTATTTATTTCTTCGTTTTATGTTTATCTTTTTCTTTTCTCATATTTTTCAACTTTAAGGTGATTAATCCGGTTTTCTCTATATAATTACGTGTAAAATTAATTAGTCTTTTTTTAATACTAATATGTACATTGCCCATATATTGGATTTTTAATTGAAAGGTTAATTTAAGTTTTTATATTATATACTTTAAGATTTTAAAGAGTACGTGCTTAAAGTCATTCTATCCAAAATAAGAAGTCCTTATATGAATATTTTGTGATTATAAGCCATACTCTTATGCCTACTCCAAAACATCTTCTTCTATCTTAAACACAAATTCAAACTTTGGAGGGTTGATCAAAGAAAAAAAAACAAAGAAAGATGGAGTCACAACATTTTGGGCATTCACATAAGTTGGTGTTCAATGAAGAGCAGAGCAATCAAACAAAAGAAGCTTATTGCTCAAGGTGCAGGGAGGTGGTGTTCGGTCCAAGCTTTAGTTGTGTGGAATGTAGGTTTTACCTTCACAAGAAATGTGTTGAGGCCCCTTCGAAGATTGATCACCCTTTTCATCGCGATCACCCTCCTATTCTTCTACCAAAGACACCGTCCAAGGGAACAGGTTCTTGCAATTTTTGCGCAAAAATCTATGAGAAGTTTGTTTATCATTGTTCTTGTGAAGTAGACTTACATATTAAATGTGCTTTATTTTCCCTTAACATTGCTGAAAAGAAACTCGGAGAGCTTGAACACACAGCCATAAAAAATCCATCAATCTCTAAAGAAGATAGTAATAAAGAACTGGAAAACGCTGTATGTTTTGAGTGTCAGGAACCTTTATTAGAATCTACATACTTTTCTCTGGATTGTGGATTTAACTTACATAAAAAATGTGCTAAGTTGCCTCTTGAAATCAGCCATCCTTTTCACAACAAACATCTTATTGTTTTACAATTTACTGGTGAAAGTTTCTCTTGCAATATATGCCAACATATTTCATATTATGGATTTGTTTCATATTATGGATTTTTCTATTGTTGTTCACCTTGTAGCTTTGCCTTTCACATTAAATGCGCTGAGTTACCTTCTGAAATCAATCACCTTGGTCATCGCAAACACCCTCTTATTCTTCAATTTAATAGTGAAAATCTCCCTTACAAGATATGGATTTTTCGATTGTTGTTCATCTTGCAAGTTGGCCCTTCACATTGAATGTGCATCACCACCTCCACCTATTAAAAAGAAAAGTCATCAACACCCATTCATCTTGTTTTGGAGACCAGTCTCGTTCATTTGTGATGTATGTGGCCTTGAAAGGAATTATGTTGCATATAAATGTTCTATTTGTAGTATTATAGTCCATACAAATTGCATTTTTTTGCCACGCATCATCAAAGCAGTGTTGCATGACCACCCTATTTCCCATACCTATTTCTTTCGTCAACATGAGTTTAAGAGTTGGGATTGTAGAATTTGCCATGACAATGTGAATGCAGAGCACGGGATTTACTATTGTTTGGATTGCAAGTTTATTGTTCATGTGAATTGTATTATAAAGAGAAAAGGATTGTATCATATAGTTGAATCAAAAGAAAAATACGAGAAGACCTTATTGTTGACTGATGTAGCTATTGATCCCATCACTTGTGCTGTTGATAGGAATGAAGCTGGAGAAGCCACAAAAGTAAAACATTTCAGTCATGATCATGAGTTAGTATTAAGCAAGATGATCATTGAAGATTATAAATGTTGTGACGGAAGCATGTTGCCCATCTCAACTTCATTTTACTCTTGTTCACAATGTGATTTTTTTCTCCATAAACCATGTGTTGAATTGCCTAGGAAGACAAAACTTTGGTTTCACTTGTGCCAGAACGTTGTCACCCTTATTGCAAACAACGTTTACGAATGCCAGGTTTGTGCGTAGGTGCATAGTGGCTTTTCCTATAATTGTGATAAATGTGAGGAATCTTTTTGCCTTAGTTGTTCAACTCCTGATACTCTCATTTGTAATGGACACGAACACACCCTTTTATACTACTACGATTATCAAGGATCATGCAATGCTTGTGGGTAGCGTTTAACGCAAGGATAATGCTAAGTGTTGCAATTTTGCTTTGGATAACTATTGTGTGATTTTACCGTCAGTAATTTGGCACAAGTGTGATGAACATCTTCTTACACTCACTTATCATGACAGTAATGATTATTCAGAATATCATTATTGTGATATTTGTGAAGAAATAAGAAATCCAAAACATTGATTTTATCATTGTATAATTTGTAATACTTTTATTCAGCTTCAATGTGCTCTTGGAAGATATCCATTCATCAAACTTGGAAGCATCTACCAAGTTGGAGATCATCAACACCCTCTTAAGTTTGTCAAGAAGATTTATCATTATCCTGAATGCCTTAAAATGTGCTGAGCCCTGCCAAGAAGATTTATCATTATTTTTTTTTTAAGTTTCCAATTACTGGTGGATAAAACAGAGAAAATGATTAATTTATCTAATGTTTTAATAAAAAAAATGAATTGTAACTCATTTTTTCCTTTCCAAAAAGCAGAAACCAAGTTATTTTTTGTTCAACACACAGACAAACATATAAATATATAGGGAATTGATCCCAAACCTGCAAAGTAATCAATGTAATCTAAAGTTTTGATTCTAAACTTAGAAATCAAACCTCTCTCTTAAAGAGAGAGGGCAGGTACCACCAAGTGCGCGAGCTTGGTGGTGAAAAATAGCATATATCTTGGAAGAGGAAAAATTAGAGCAGCTAAACGTTGCTTTTGTTGCTTTCTCTCTACTAAATATAATATAATCAACTTTAAATTTAATCTGCAAGATAAATTAAGAGAAATAAAGCATATTTTTTTTCTATTTCCCTTTATTTGATTGTTCTTTTTATGCTTATCTTTTTCTTTGGTCATGGTTTTCAACTCTAAGGTGATCAATCCAGTTTTCTCTATATAATTACATGCAAAATTAATTAGTCTTTTCTTATTTTAATATTAATATGTACATTGCTTTTATATTGAATTTTAAATGGAGAGATCTTAGGGTAAGTTTTTATGTTATATAAAATTTAAAATTTTTGACAATACATGCTTGAAGTTATTCTATCCAAAATAAGAAAAGTACAAAAGTCTTATGAATATTTTGAGATAATAAAACCATAGTCTTTTGCTATTTTAGACACAAATTCAAACTTTGAGAGTTAATCAGAGAAAAAAAAAACAAAGAGAGATGGAGTCACAACATTATGGGCATTCACATCTGTTGGTGTTCAATGAAGAGCAGAGCAATCAAACGAAAGAAAGTAATTGCTCATGGTGCAGGTGTCACGGGGTCCGGTATAAAATTTACTTTTCTTTAAAAAATTAGTTTCATAGCGGTCTTTATTATTTTTTTTTTTAATTTGGTTTCGCCGTCACTGTTAAAAGAATTAAATATACTACACTTTTTAAAACTTTTCAGCAAAATTTTCTCTTGAGGCGCAAGTTAAGATCTTTTGCTATCTTGTACCACTTTACGAAAACGTAACATCCGTCTCATGGAGGCGGACTCAACCGGAGGCCCACCCCCAGATGTCGACGAAGGTGAAACGGCTGCTCACACTGGGGTTGGTGTGAAGCGATTTCGTTCAAGGGAGGAGAAGGATTCTCCACATAAACTGAATGAAGAGATAATTGAGAATAGATCCTCACATCAAGAGGAGTTGTCAAGATTTTCTTATCGCCATGTCCTTATGCATGGTGATATTGAGATGCAATCAGAGGATGCGGAATCAAATGAAGGCGGAGAGAGGTCTGAAGATTATGAATCAGAGGATGATGCAATGGAGAACAAGGTTGATGGCCCCTACATTTGGCTCACTAAGGAAGATAAGCGACGAATCAGACAGCCATGGAAGAACACGTTGATTGTGAAATTACTTGGGAGAGATATCAGTTACACTTACTTATGTAACCGAGTGAGACAGTTATGGTCCGTGGTGGGTGATTTCCAAGCAATCAATTTGAATAATGGTTTCTATTGCTTTAAGTTCTCCAAGAAATCAGACTATAGTCATGTTTTACTAGATGGTCCTTGGATAATATTGGGTCATTATCTCACAATAAGACGTTGGTCCCCTAACTTCCGATCAGAGGATGCCTCTATAGAATCAGTGGCTGCGTGGGTACGTCTCCCACGTAGGCCTTTAGAATTTTATGATAGGGAAATCCTCTCAAGGATTGGGGATGAGTTGGGAAGAACAGTCAAGGTTGATCGTACCACATCAACCGTATCTAGAGGAAAGTTTGCAAGATTATGCGTGGAATTGGATTTAAATAAGCCTTTAGTAGCAAAAGTTTTTATCGGTGGTCGCTAGCAGATAGTAGAGTATGAGGGTCTCAGATTGGTTTGCTTCCATTATGGTAAATTTGGACATAATGATGAGAGTTGCCAAGCTAAACAGAGGGAGCAGGAAAGCCACATCGTGGAAGAAGCCATGAACATAACAAAAAAAAATGTTATTCATGAGAAGGATTATGACTCTGCGCGCTATGGGCCATGGATGGTAGCTAAGAGGTACACCAGACGCAACACAGGCAGTCGA